ACCAATATTGTCAATTTTTTTTGTTTAAGGGACACATGTTACTACGTGATTGGTTTTAAGGGACACATGTCACCACCGTTTATTGGGCTGTTCAACACTAGAGAAAGGGAGAAGGGTGGTTTCCGGGGTTGGGGGAAAGAAAAGGGGGTGGTTTTAGAGGTTGGCAGTGGAATCGGGGTAGATTATAGGGAGGGGGCGATTTTGGTGGGGGGAATCAGGTGGTTGTCAGAAGGGTGAGAGGGGATGGGAGGGCTGCTGCCGGGGAGGGTGGCCGTGAGGGTTGGGCTGAGTTTTCTTTTTCCCATTTTTTTTTAATTTATTTTCAAACAATTATGTAGAGACACGTTTCTCATAACCTGTGACAACAGATTAGGTTACCGGTTGGGACCAATTAAAGAGAACGACCCCTAAAGTTCGAATTACTTTAAAATAATCCATAATTAGAATTATTTTAAGCAAACGGGAAAAAATTGGTATTATATTTATCAAGTTTTCCAATCATATATTGACATGTGCAATATTTTTGGATTAGTCTTTAAATATATTTTTATTATATCAACTTTTATACTTCTTAATACAGAGTAATATATAATTACAAATATTAAAGGTAAAAAAAATATATTAATGGTCAAAGTTGTGCATTGGCATGTGTGATGGTCAAAGTGTTACGATTAATATAAAACGGATGGAGTACTAAACTTAAAATTATTCAGGATTAATCAAAGGTTGGATTATTTTGGGAGAATGAGGCAAAATTTGGGTTATTCTTATTAATTATTGATACAGTAGATGGCCAATTGACCAAACTGGTAAATAAAAAAGACCCTTAGCGATAGTTTGATAAATAAAATAGCCCCGACGACAATTTGGTAAAAAAAAAACTAACCCAAAATATACTAAATTTCCGACAAACTACTCGTAAATGCTTAATTTAGTTCGTTTTCATGATTTTTTTACCTAATTTTCCAACCTCTTTTTCAGAATTAACAATTTGAATAAAAATTATTGTTTAAATATTATTTTTCACGTATTTTCCTACCCTTTATTATCGATTTTTTTTTAAGAAAGGGGTTGGAAATAAATTTGATATCGAGATTTAGCAAAATATAAGGAGAAGACATATTAACTTAATTTTTAAATTAGGAAAATAATTTTAAAAAAAAATACAATAACGAATTGATTAGCAAATTTAAAGACTTTGTCGGAAGAAAAAAATAGATATTTTGGTCTAAATGATGAGATTCATTTTTTTACCAAATTGTATTATCATCGATTTTTTTTTTTTTTTTTTTTACCAAATTGTCTCTAGGGTCTTTTTTATTTACCTATCTGATCGATTGGCCTACAGTAGATAGACGTGGTCAATACAGGGAACAAAAAGCGTAGACACGAATCTAAGTAAAGACGACTGGTTGACCCACATATAAAAGGACGTTTTACCAAATTGAGCTTTAAACGGAAACTATTGACAAAAATGGTAGCGTGGCAAAACTATTTACCAAACTAAGCTTCCAGGGTAAATCGCTGTCTCGGACAGCGTTTTACCTTCTGTATTTTTTTAAATTCAGTAGGGCATAAAACGCTGTCTCGGACAGCGTTTTATCCTTGGGTTTTTTTTTAAAAAAATTCAACTACAACTATTTTATATGTTCAACATAAAGCGCTGTCTCAGACAGCGCTTTATGCTTGAACATAAAACGCTGTCTCAGACAGCGCGTTATGCTTGAACATAAAGCGCTGTCTCAGACAGCGCTTTTCTGCTGGAAACAGCAACCAGCATCCAGGCAGAAAACAAGCTTCAGCAAACAGCTTGCATGCTGCAGTCCTCCAACAGCCACCACAACAGCCAGCTCCACAGCCCTACCGTCCATCGTATCTGTTCACATGCAATTTAACAAATCCCAACAGAGTTAACGCATTAGCAATTAACCAAAATGTTAACGATCAAATGTTCCAAATGTTATTAAATCAAAATGTTCCAAATGTTATTAAATCAAAATTTTCTATTACAAAATAATTCCTCCATCTACGATTACAACGAATTTCAGTTAACAGTCATGGGTCCTCTGAGGGTCTCGATGGACACGTTGCCCGGTTATGGCCCTGAACGTGACAACGACTACATTTGCTCGCGGGCCGGTTAGTCTCATCCATTTCATTACGTATGCGCTTTGACCTTGGTCGCCCTATTCCACGCAACATGCTCCCGTCGGGAATGATTCTGGGACCGTTATAGGGCGTCCAGGTTGTCTCGCAAGGGATTGGCCAGAATTGCGGCGCGTATGTGCTCGTGTATGCCTCCGATTGCAGCACCGGGTCAACCCACGGCCGCTCTGATAGTGAGTACGTTGCACATACGGCTAGAACGTGAGAACATGGGAGGTGAAATATCGTAGGTTTGTTGCAGGTACACGTTCTTAACTGAAAGTTAACAGTATGTTTATGGCCTCCTTTACTACCAAGTCGGTCTCCCCTTTCTGTTGTAACTTGGTAAATATGCAATCGACGGTTATACGCATCCGCTCTGTGATATCTGGCTTTTGCGGTGTTCTTCTCTAGAATGGCAGTGACCTTGGGGGGGTATGCAAGTCCCTGTTCAAATCTTGCCTCAGAAGACTCCCTTCTCAAAGTGAAATATTTGTTAACTCTATGAAAAGTTAACTCGACTAGGGACATGATCGGTAGAAACCGTGCTCCCTTCAACACGTTGTTGAATGTCTCAGAGAAGTTAGTAGTGCAAATCCCGTATCTACGTCCAGCGTCGTGAAAGAGGGACCACATGGTGAACGGAATTTGAACAATGTACTCCATTGCCTTGTTACACGCCTCACTAATGAAACACAGATCGCCGTGTAGTTTTCTTTCCTGCCTTTGGTACGCCGTAGCCTTGAACATATCTCTCATGTCGTTTCGTCGCACGTGAGTCTTCAAGTTAGAAGCTATGTGGCGAACACAAAATCTGTGATAGGCTCGCGGCTCGGTAAATCCAACGTTCGGATCAGTCATTGCTGCAATGATCCCAGGATGTCGGTCAGATATAACACAAAGGCCATCTCGTTGAGTGACATGAACCCGAATGCAACCCAGGAACCAAGACCAGCTGGAGGTGTTTTCCCCCTCAACCAACGCAAATGCTAGAGGAAATACTTGGAAGTTTGCATCAACACTTGTAGCAACCAACAGTGTTCCTTTGTACTTCCCGTACAAGTGCGTCCCATCGATACAGATAACTGACATACAATGTTTAAAACCGTCGATACAAGGGCCAAACGCCCAAAACACTCTTTCAAACACTTCCATGTTGCTGTAGTAAACACCGTCAACCAACGCTTTGTACTTCCACACAACACACGTTCCCGGGTTTGACTGTTGGAGGGCTTGCATGAAGTGCGGAAGTCTGCCGTAAGAACTCTCCCAATCACCGTAAATATCAGCTATTGCTTTCCCCTTTGCATACCATGCCCTCCGGTACGGGACATCATCTTGCGTAGGCGAATAACTATGCAATTGCATCGCTGTAGGTGTGACGGTGTTTGATGTCGAAGGCCCAGCTTCGCCAGTCAATGCAAAATATGCCCCCCCATGTACAGGTGAAGCAATATGAGAACTAAATGGCATGTCAAATTGATCGTCGTGCAGCATTCGACTGAAAGATCCCATCCCATATTCAGTTGATGGAATGTCGTGTGACGGCACTTGAAAGGGCTCTGTGTTGTACCCAGAAATACGTGTAGATTGTTGTTCTGGCCGAGTACTTTGTTGGGTACATATAGGCACCGTTTCCACATATATTTCAGTGGGAACACCCTTCATTGCAACAACGTTCCTTAGAGCTGTCACATGCTTATTCGTAGAAACCGGTAACACTTGAACCCCATTGCCGGTCTCAAACCTCATTTTAATGTGTACGTCAACGGTCATCGGGTCTGAACCAATACTACTATGAACCTCATTCATCAAATCATTCATAGTCATGTTCGGTTCTAGTGTTAGTGGTTCCATATTTCCCCCACTATACTCGACCCGGGGTCCATCAAACAGCATTTCTCCTCCCCACCGGCATAACAAAACTACATTTTGTGACGCCATATTCTACATAACCAAAACACATTTTAGGATTATCGAAATCTAGAGCGAGGTAAATTATCAACACTGAAATAAGACTCTTCTCACCTATAACAACTTCACTTTCAACAACTTCACCAATTTCAACAATTTCATGAACAATTTGAATTATTTCAACAATTTCAACCTAAACTATTTCAATAATTTCAACATTTTCACCATCATCAACTTCACCAATGTCATGAACAATTTCAATAACAATGTACCACATCACCATCAATAATTATCAACAATGTACCACATTTTCATTAATAATTAGCAACAATTACATGCAATTGACATGAATTAACAACAAGTAAGAGCAATTACATACAATTCACAATAATTAACCACAATAACTATGCAATTACACTAAATTCAGTTTAGGGCTAACCACGAAATTGAGTGAGTGAGTGTGAGAGGGAGGAGGGCAGCAGCAAGGTGGCGGCAGCAGCGGTGGCGCAAGGGTGGGCGGCGGCGGCAATGCGGGTGTTTGAGTACGGTCGTGGTTTAGTGTGAGAGGGAGGAGGGAAAGCGTTGAGGTTGAGGTTGAGTTCTTGCGCATTCTGCTGAAGTGAACATACTGATATATGGCCATGAAACGCTGTCCCGGACAGCGTTTTACCCATTGAATTTTTTTTTAAAAAAACCCAAGGATAAAACGCTGTCCGAGACAGCGTTTTATGCCCTACTGAATTTAAAAAAATACAGAAGGTAAAACGTTGTCTGGGACAGCGTTTTATGTTCAACATACAATTGTTAATAATTTTTTTTAAAAAAATACAAAAGGTAAAAACGCTGTCAGAGACAGCGTTATACCAGAGCATAAAACGCTGTCTCGGACAGCATTTTATGCTGGAAGCTTAGTTTGGTAAATAGTTTTGCCACGCAACCATTTTCGTAAATAGTTTCCGTTTAAAGCTCAATTTGGTAAAACGTCCCATATAAAACCCCCCAGAAAACTTAATTGAACCTCCAACTTTGGATTTTGGGCTTTCTTTCAATTCTTCATTCAACCGCGCTTTCTTCTTCTTCTTCCCTTTCCTTCTCTCACCATTAACACAAGAAGAGAGAGAACGAGAGAGATGCGTGAGAACTAAGCTGTGAAAGACGAGAACAATGGAGTTTTCCTCTAAAGTTCATCTCTTCTTTCTCATACTTTTTCTCTCAACATTCTTCTGCTCCTGCTTAGACTCTTCAATCCAAAGTATGTTCTTTCTCACTTTAATTTTCCCTAATTTTGTTTTTTTTTTTTTCAATGTTAATTTGATTTGCGCTGATTAGGGTTTCTGTTGGTTGTATTTTGATTTCTGGGAAACTTTTATTTTGCTAATTAGATGTTTGAATTTGATGAACAATCATTTTGGTTGTTTTTAATTAATTTATGCATGTAAAGTTGAAATTTTATTTGTAAATGTTAATAGGAAGAAAAGGGTAACTTTTTGTTGTTATTGATGATTGGAAGAAAAGGGTATCTAATAATAGAGGCAGTTGTCTTATTTGGGTATTGGGTGTGTGGGTTTAATTTCGTAGAGTGGAAAGATTTGAGAAGTGTATGAAGTTATAATTGCTTGTTGTTTGCTTTTGTCTTAATCAAAAGGTTGCATTAGACTTTGGTGGTGATTATGTCTCAATAACTTTGTCTATTGAATCTTGCAAAATTTGTAGGTATTGAGCTACAATGTGAAAAATACTAGATTTATTTATAAGTTTTTTGTTAGCATTGTTGATTTAACTTTGATTTTATCACTATGATATGGCGATGGAAATGAATTGTCGAAGCTTACATGGTTTGACAACAAAATTATAATGTGGCTTATAAGCTTAGCTTTATCTGATAGTCACTAACAACATGAATACAAGTTGTTGATTTTTTGATTAGTGTGTTTACATATTTTTTACTGTTATCAATGAACATTTGTGGGAGTGTTCTAAGCCTGGTTTTATTTTGCTGCAGCTATCGGTTTGGAGACTCCACATCTCGTAATCAAACCTGTCACCTTGCAGGGCTATGTGCCTAAAGACAGTAAAGAAGTATTATCATGTGAGCGTGTTCACGTTGTTCCTTGCTCAAGAATTAAACTTGAGAGATATGCAAGCTCAATTCGTCTTACAGTGGCACCTTCTGTAGTCATTCCTGAGAGGTTACACAACAGAATTCACATATGCCTGCATAAGTAAGTGGATAATGATATCTTTCTTTTGTACTTCGTCTGAATTAAATGTTGCAAAATTTTAGTGGTACTCATGTTTTATAATGTCTTTGCAGGAATGTTTCAATTGGAATGTGTCAGTGTGAAAAGGACGCATGGAAACCCGTCCACAATGGGTTATGGGGCTCTATAATTTCTCCCTATGAAGATAAATACATTGATGTGAAGTTTCGTGATATATCGGGTTCAGTCACAGTCTCAGCCGCAGAAGGTTGAGCACTCTTTTACCCCTAATACATTTCTTACTTTTGTTGTATATATTCTCTACCCCTCCTCCACTTTTGGTTATTAATTATGGATTCTATATTTTGGTTGTGCTTGCAGAATTCCAACGCTGGCGTCTGTTCAGTCTTGCATTTGGAATCATTCTATTATTTGTTGCACCAATTGTTAGCAGTTGGGTGCCTTTTTACTATAGCAGTACAATGGCTATTGGGATACTACTTGTTGTCCTAATCATTCTCTTCCAGGTACTAATTCTCTCTTTTAGCTGTTATTTTGCACTTCATTCCCTGAGGCACGTTTCCATTGAATTTATATATGATCATATATACTTGACAATGTGGTGTAATAACTCTATTTTTGCATATTGGCTTCTCTTTCTGGTGGGGATATATGTGATTTTAGTCTCATTTCGATTAAGCTTTTTCCTTGTGCTGTTGTGCATTATAATCCATAAGTTATCAACAAGCACTCCCATATCTGAATACTTGTCAGATGGCTCTTTATCACCTATCTTTTTACAAATTAGCTTATTTTGTCTCTGACTTTGTTCTTGTCAGAAAAATGTATCTGACCTTAATGCTAAAATGACCAATTATAGTCTTTCTTTTTTTCTGTTTATGGACAAAAGGTTGCTGTAAGCCTCTACCAAATATTAAGTAGTATGAAACTGCTTAACTCATTATTTTATCTAAGCTGTGATTATTTGGTTCTGACACTTGATAGAATTAGGTGATTAATGTTTCTTTTTTTTTTTTTTTTTTTTTTTTTTTTTGAGCTATACCATGGTTTATGGTTCTGTGCTTTACTTCGAATATTATCTTATAACTATTTTATCTTGTCTTCTTACATCTATATATGCCTGGTGTGCAGGGGATGAAATTATTGCCAACAGGCCGCAAAAATTTCTTTTATCTGACTATATATGGATCACTGGTAAGTGTTTGTATCCAATTTCCAATCTTTGTTTTAGAAGCCTTCCTGTGGACAACAACTTACTTCATTATCTGTTTTCTGCCTTGAATCAGCTGGGAGCTGGGTCCTTTCTCTTGCATCAGTTTTCAATGCTTGTGAATTCCATTCTTGTGAATTTTGGCTTGAGTGAGGAGATGCACAATCCGGTAAGCTCTTTTTTCATTGATCAATTTTATAAGTATGGTTTAAATGTTGTTATTATCTTCCCACACCAGTGAAGCACCTGCATGGACAGAGAATCTGGTGGAGGGGGCCATGATAAGATCTGGAATCCAAACAAACATAGTAACTAAATAGGTATTGAGGACATGACTGGCTAAAGCGCCCCTCACCACCCCCACCCCCCCAAATTTAAAATTAAGTGAAAAGGCTACCAATTTTTGCTGTCCTATGTACTGTTTTATTGATGAAAATCTTATTTGTGCTCTTATATGTGGAAGCATTCCTCTTTTAGAACTTCTCTGACCTAGTATTACCTTTGTCCATTCTGATCTGATGAACTTTATTATTGTTATTCTTTTTCAGGCTGGTTTTATTGTTATTGCTCTGACTGTTATTGTTTTTGTTCTAGTTATTATTTCTGTAATTCTTTATATTTACAGGAACAATAAGTTGACCCAAAGTTAATTGTTTAACTGAATTTTATAAATTTATAGAAGACAATTAATTGTTGGCTTTGATTCGTTATTTATTTTATTATCTTATTTTATAGCAATATTCTAGATTTTCGGCTTATAAGACAAAGGTTAATGTAAAACCACACAGAGAGGTTAATGTAAAACCACACTTCTCTGTGTGGTTTTATCTTTGTGTAATTGCGTTCTTTATCTTATTAAGATTTCAAACTTGGAACATCTAAGGTGTTTTTTGGTTGGATGTAAAAGACATTGGAAATTCTATTTCTTAGGAAATGGATATAGCATGTGTTGTTTGGTTGACACAAATTTATCAAATTGGGGGAAATGTAAATTCCAAGGGAAGTTTCAATTCCCATGAAACATGGGAAATCACTTACCAAGCCCCCCTTGGTAAGTCACATTTCCCATGATTATTGTGGGGCCTACTTGCATTATTATCACTATAATTTAGTCTCTTTCTTTCTCTCTCCAATTTGTTAACCTAGATAAAATATAATCAAGCTAACTAATACAGGAAGCATAGGAAATAAGCTCCTAGGGAATCTTAGTTCCTATATTATCAACCAAACAAAGTTCAGTCAATTCCTAGGAAATGGACGAGGGAAATTACTTCCCATGAAGTATAATTTCCTATGGAACTCATTTCCTATGTCAACCAAACGAAACTTAAGTCATCGTGATTTCACCTAGATATTTATCCTCCATCATAATCCATATCAAATCCGCTTAAAATCTTCCATCCATAAAATTGGTGTTATTTCAGATCCATATACGATACCGATACGTGCTCCGGTTTTTTTTAGTGGTGCAGCCATTGGCAGACCCAGGGGGGTGCTCAGAGGTACATCTGTACCCCCATTCCACCCAAAAAAAATACTGTTATTAAAGAGACCGCTTTTATCTTATAACAAGTCTCTTAGGTGCTGCCATATAAACAACCTCAGACACCAAACCAAGTCTGCGTGTTTTTTTTGCTAAAATCAAAGAGACCCGATATTAAAAACTTGGGTCTCTTAGATTTTATTCATAATCACATGTTCTTGAACTTTCCGCCACTGTATGAGTAACTAGTATTTTCTTACCAAAGAGACTTGTTGTCACAGAAAACAGGTATCTTAGATAATTCTATTTTTCACGCACAAATTTTTTTATATACTCAGTTTTGAAGGAAATATTTATTTACTAATTTATAGATCTTGTTGCCGGAGGATGGAATACTATACCTGCAAAGACTAATACAATAGTAGTGAAATTAATTAACAACCCAAATTTTAGTTGGTAAAAACGATAATACTCCATATATTACTTTGATTTTTTCTTAAGCTTAATTTCGTACCCCCATACATAAAATCCTGGATACGCCACTGTGTGTGGCTTGTACCTTTTGTAACGTTTGATACTATTTACATGCTCCACTTTGACTATCACTAGTTATATGGTAACATTATATTAATTGTAAATCATGTTGTATTCGTTTCAATAGATATCTTCAAAATATCAGGTGTTTATAATTTTACTTACAAAAAATTCACTATATTAATGGCCAAAGTTATGCATTGGCAAATGTGTACAGTCTAAGTGAAGTATATATTGAAAGCATTAGTTATGCCACAAAATTAAGTGGTTCTTAGTTGGTAGTACTAACTAAATGCTAAAGAACTAGCGGGGAACATCACAATAAATTATGTACCACTTATTCTTCCATCAATTACTATGACAACTATCTAGTATCAAACGTTAGAGGGCGTATTAGTAGTATATTAGTCGTGCACTCATATTCAAATTTTATTGGTGTCATAACAGCATCCTAGTTTTGAAATATAATACTAGGGCCAATGCAATAAAATTATTGTAATTGTGGCAGATTTAGGAGAATTGTAGATTAGGTAGCTCTAAGTTGGTAATTAATAGACCATGTTTACATTTTGCTAAGTGACTTATGCTGTATATGCATCTTTAGCATCTTCTATACTTTCTTCCTTTCATATGACTTGCTATTTTTATGAAATGTACTTTGTATTACCTATCTCTAAATCTTCAACAGTGGAGTAACATTTGATTGTTTGTTGCAATTAAATATGAATTGTAATAAAAGGAGAATATTCATTGAAGGCAATGATATAAGCACATTAGAGAAGTCAGAATAGTATATGCTGAATCGAGTGTTCTCAAATCTAGAGATTAGAGATATAAGTATTATGGTTGTTGTAAATAATTGGAAATTTGGTTTGAGATTTGTACTCAAGCTGATATCTGGATTTTTTTTTTATTTTTTTTTATTTTATTTCTTTTGCAAATTTTATTATTGTTTGTAGGAGGCATAGAGGCAAGCATAAGTTACTGAAAAATTCTTCTTTGTCTCTTGAAACTAGATAAAGTGTTTGTGTAAATCCTTTTGGTGCAGGTATCCATTTTTCTATTAGTTGGTGTTGTTCTTGCGGGAGCTGCATTGGGTTACTGGATTGTGCGAAGATTTGTTATATCAGATGATGGAAGTGTTGATGTTGGAGTTGCTCAATTTGTGAAATGGGCAATGCGAATTATTGCGAGTACATTTATTCTTCAGGTAACCTTTAATTTTGCTACAATGATTTCAATTATATGATTCAATAAAATAGGTACTGTTGTCATGTAAGGTCACATGAGATTTAATTGGCACCCATCTATATATCATACCAGAAAGGGGATAGGAACTTCTTGCATTGACAATGATTTTTCGGTGTGCTCAGCTTCAAAAATTTTGCACTGACAGTTGTGGTTGCTATAACAGTTGCATAGTTGTGAAATCACCATCCCATGTGTGTTTCGTGGTCTGTAGTGGCCAGTAGGCCGCCCATTGCTGCATGATTTGACGACTAGGCTCTTCATATAATCCATTAAAAATCTTATTTATTTTTTTAAAATTAAACTATACTTTAATTTTATCTTGTAATTACTTCCTCGATATTTTTATAATTTCATGATGTCCCTGTGGCAAACAATTTATGGAAGATAAATGGACAAATATATCAAAACAACTCAAACTGGTTTCCTAATTCTTCCCATTTACCGGTGTTTAAGTAAATTTAACTAATTTGTCTGTTTATCTTTTCTAATATCTTCCTTAAAATGCTTGCAAATGATACCTGTTGCGATTATTAAAAAATAAAAACGGGCAAAGTGTTGGGAAATAGATGTTCTAGACATTATTAGTAACAATGAAATATGGAATGGTCTCTACATAAGGGATTAACTTTTATTAATTCCATGATGCATTGATGGCGGTCTTGTCTCCAAAATTGGCAGGGGAAAGCACTTTAACTTATCATATACCACCTTGAATTGATAGAGGGTGAATCATCTCTTTGCTTGCATTGATATATGAATATATTCATCTGATGTTTTGTAGAGTTAAGACTCGTAAGAGCTGGTCAGCTTTCAACATTTTAATGATGATACATCGATACTACTTTTTAAGTTCAAGCATATTGCCAGTTGGGATTGTTCTCCTATAACACTGTTTCTTTTTTACATGCAGGGCACTCCTGATACTTTGTTCTCATGGGCAACAGTGGTACTGTGTTGGTTGATGTGCTCATTAATCTCTTCTATGAAGTGGCCTGATTCTGGGTATGTTTAACATAATACGCCCAACCTACTAAAATTTTTTGCCACTACTAGAGAAGCATTCTTTGGGGTGTCTTACATGTCTGCTTTAGCTTAGAAATAGAGTTTTGACAGAGTTCATGTGCATGTTGCGGGAGTCAGGGACCCCTACATAGGTTAGGGGAAATAGTTATTGTTTTATCTTAGAAATAGAATGCTGACAGTGTTCATGTGCATGTTGTGGGAGAGTGGGGGACAAGACTACGTAGATGAGGGAAAATATAAACAATCAGGGATAGATTGCGCACAAGTGCATGAAAATGGTTTAACTTAGGAATACTATAATGGCAGTTATGCCCTGAAAAAACTTTAAGGTTACTTCGTTGCTATTCGGATGTCAAATTGTATTGTGATTAGAATATCCAAATTGCACCAAATGATTTATGTGAACCTCTAAATAGGGCCTTATAGCTATGCAGAATGATATGCCTTGTAATTGAGTGCACATTTAGGATATGGTCCGTATTATATATTAGGGATATGTCTAGCATGTTTGGAAATCAGTATTTTTTTTTATTAAGGAATGTGAGTACACCACAGGTGTTGCTAATAATATATTGGAATTGTTGGGACTCTTAGAGTGCGTTTGGTTCGCTGGTTTTAGGAAAGGGAATGGGAATCATTCCCTTTTAACCTGTTTGTTTGCCACTTTTTCCCTCAATCATTCCCCCATTTCATTTTTCAAAATACCCTAAAACCCCTCTTCCCCATTCCCCACCCCCCCCCCACTTTCCCATTCCATTCCCCACCCACCCTAACCCTAACACTAACACCCATATACGCCGGTGGTGGTCGGACGGCGACTGTCGGCGAGCACCGGGGAGTGGTCGGGGAGGCTCGGCGAGCACCGGGGAGTGGTCGGCGATGTGGTGCTGTGGTGGAGGAGGGAGATCGAGCGTCGGGGAGCGGGGCTGGAGCATCGGGGAGGGAGTTCGAGGTGGTGCTGTGGTCGGTGGTGGTCAGCGACCGTCGGCGAGGGGGACTGGAGGGTCGGCGAGGGGTCAGCGACCGTCGGCGAGGGAGTTCGAGCATCGGGGAGGGGGCTGGAGCATCGGGGAGGGAGTTTGACGGTCGGCGATGGGGGCTGGATGGTCGGCGATGCTCGGGGATGGGTCGGCGGAGGTCTGTGAGGGTTCGGCGGCGGTCGGAGCTGCGCTGTGGTGGTGGTGCTGTGGTGGAGGGAATGATTCCCTGGTTTTTGTAACAAACAACCTTCCAAATTTTCCACTTTGCCATTCCATTCCATTTCATTCCCTTTGTTCATTCCATTCCGATTCCCTTCTGTCAACCAAACGGCCCCTTATTACCTTTTGATGGGAGCAACAAAGTTGATTACTGTTGCTATAGAAGAGGAAAAAGTTGTGTGTTGAATGTGTTTCTATAGAGCCTGATTTTAGAACATGAAGCTCAAATTATTAGTATTGCAAGAATCACAATTATCATTCACCATATATTAAGAATTCTGTTAACATTACAGCTGGTCTTGGGAGTTCTGGTAAATTTATCATAAGCTAGTGGTGACCTGTTGGAGTTGGGTTAGCTAAACTGACCAGAAGCATTTGGTCACACTAAGCATTAGTATCACTCATGGAAAAACTATTAGAGGTTTTCAATTCGGGTGCTCGGGTTGGGTCTATTTTAAAGTTCAGTCATGCTAAATTATTGTGTTCATACAAGTTGGAATCTAAATCAGGTTTTTTTCGGGTCAGATTGGGTCGGGGTGGTCGGTTAAGTTTTTGACACCTCTAGGTAAAAGTAAAAGGTAAAGCAAAAGACATAGAAAATTGACGAGTTTTTGTAACAAATTATAATACAGTTTATACATGGTAAATTAGGTATATTTTACATATTTTGCTCAACTTTTAATGGTTTTTGAGTAACTACTACATGATTTGACCTAATGGCTCTATTCATATTGTTTGATCCAAGAATTTATATTTTAAGTTCAGTAAGTTTAACTTAGAACTTTTCCATTTTTGCCTTAAAGCCCTTGATGATATCCATATATATATAAATATATATATATATATAAATATATATATATATATATATATATATATATATATATATATATATATATATAAAGGGAAAAAAGAAAAACTCTGAAGACATTAGCAGTGTAGATGTTTAAATTTAATAAAGAAGAATATTTTGGATGATTAAGCTATATTTTTATAAAATAATCTTAAATCAAATATTAACTAACTACTTAATGTACCTAGGTAAGGAAGGAGTACTATATAGATGTGGGTAAAATTGATAGCCATTTTTCTTCTTTAAAGAAGAGAGAGGGGGGGGGGGGGGGGTGGGGTGGGGTGGGGTGTTGGTGCCAGCTGGGTAGGCTTTAGTACATATTGGCTGTCCACTTTAGGAATGGATTAAGGTAGTCTTTTTCAGTATTTTTGACTAATTGGATTGCTTTTATATTATGTTTGTGAAATCCTTCTACTTATTTCATAATACATTTTCATGTATTACTTACATACTAATGCATTTGTAGGGATATAAATTTTCATTGGAGAAAAGCTGGAAAGGTGGCTCCTGGGCACAGTCGTGCCGAATTTCTTAGGAGGTCTACAAAAACTAGTCCTCAAGGGAAGTTGTGGAAGTCTCCCAATGCTGCACCTACCTGGAGGAACTCTCCTGTAAGAGGTAAAGAATCTTCACGATCTCATTTTCTTTTAGCTTACGATTACCAAAAATAAAGTTATTTTTTTTGGCTCAAATAGTGTTACTTATTTGATTGTTTAACAAATTATTAGCCTCTTATTCTTCTTAATTCTTATGCTTTGAACTTTTGGCTGTCACAGGTTTGACATCACCTTCTACTAATAGGAGGGTGAATGCTCAGAAGCATTACTATTCAAGCTTCCACAAGGTGCCTAAACAAAAGATGTCCAAGAAGGAGTGGGAAGATTTTACACGAGAATCAACTAGGCAAGCTATGGCTGAATTGACCTCTAGCCCAGAATTTAGTGAATGGATGATTGAGAATGCAGATCGAATACATATTCGAGCTGATGATAGCTCAGATGAAGCAATTGGTAGTGGTTCAGATTCCACCGATGAGACAGTTGTTGATAATGGCCCTCGGATGGGTTTATTCAAATGGTAGTAATCTGTTCGTGATTTAGGGATGTATAGACTAGGAAATTTTGAATTTATTAGCCAGAACAATATTTAGATAGGGATTTGTCGCTGCAGGGTTACTATTTGAAGGTGCCTTGCGGGAAAAAAAATTGTAGAGGTGCATAGGTTAGGACATTAGGAGTAAAGATGTCAATGTCATGAACTAAATAGTTTGGATGTAATTTGACGCGTAATTGACAATTTTCATGCGACGATTAATATTGATGTACATTATGTTTAATTGCTTATAGTACCTTTCACCCTTATAATACTCATTCTGTTGTGTTCTATTTCTTGGTCTTTTTTTCCTTGTAGTCATTGTCAATTGTAATTCAAGTACTTCGTAAGTCCGTATGTCTTTTATTTTATTTTTTTTGACATACTCTAAAAAAGTTTTGCAAACATACTCTAGAGTTTTACTAGCTATTTTGTTAAAAACAACTAAAACAACATTCCATTTCCCGCTTGATCTTATCATCGTGAAACTTCAATCATTTTTCTTTGAACTTGCTTCCTGGAACACCACCTATTACTTTTGTATTCCTGTTTCCATTGAACTTGGGGAATGTCCCATATATGGATATAAAATGAAAGGAAACGTAGAGGGACCCGTTTTCTTTCCTTTTTCAGCAAACCAAATTCTTCAAATGTTAGATTCGGAAGGCAAATTGAGAGAATGCAAGTATACAACCAGGCACACAAAATATACACAGTTTTCCCATGAAATGCGCAACTGCATCTCTACTTCTCTAGTTCCAAATAACAAGGACAAAGAACGTCCGCTTGATTCAGGTCGTTGCACTGCAATATCCATCCTTACACGAGGTTCTTGTTTCATGAATCACAATATACATGGTAGATCTTACATCTTAATCCTCACTTCTCAACTCCTCAACTGTGTGCAAATAATTCGATTGCAGGTTTAGTTGTAGCAAAAAAATAGAACAATTGTTATTAGTACAAGTCATATCGACATCCTCAAGCTTGGGTAACTTTTCTTACTACAAGCATATTCTATCTCAGAATAACAGAGTCAAGCCAGAATGTATGAGAAGTTCCTGCAGACACACACTTTCATCCAATTGTTATTATGCACGCAACACTTCATCTGTTACGATACAATTCATCACCTCGAGAATTGTGCTCCATCTCCTGAAAGGAACAAATGAGTTCTTTCCCCACTTGATATCCAACTACATCCAGGAACCTTTCTCATCCCGTTTGATCTCATCTCCTTCCTTAATAGTCTCTCTTCTCCATACTGGCCAGCTGCGGCAAGCATGTTGCAGTGAGCAATGTGAGCTGCTGCATTTGTAGAATCTAGCTCAAGGAGTCGCTGGAAATTACGGCCAGCAACAATGGCATTTCCCTCATTAACTCCACATACACCTAGCAATGCACCCCAAATAGCAACGCCTTGCTCAGGAGGTAAACTCAACACAATTGTTCAGCTTCCTCAACTTTCCCAGCACGTCCGAGGAGGTTGATCATACATATATAGTGTTCCACATTAGGCTGAATTCCATAATCCTCTTTCATGGCTCTGTAGAAAAGCCAACCTTCTTTCATCAATCCTGTGTGGCTGCATGCAGACAAAATTCCTAGGAAAGTAACAGAATTGGGTTTTATCTTTTCTTTTGTCATGTTATTAAATAGTGATAAAGCTTCATATGCCAGTCCATGAAACGAGAAACTCATAATCATGGAATTCCAAGAAACTAAATCATGACAAGCCATGCTTGAGAACATTTGGTAAGCATCACCTACTTGACCACATTTTCCGTACATTGAGATAAGTGAATTTTCAAGTATTAAGTCCATATTCATTTGTGTTTTAATTAATAAGCAATGCAACTGCTTGCCTTGATCCAGGTGAGCTGCTGCACCAGCTGCTCCAAGAAGAGTGGAGTACGTAGACTGTATAGGTAATACACCTTCCATCCACATTTCTGAGAATAAACTCATAGCTTCTAGAAACAACTCATTTTGGACACACCCAGATATCATTACTGTCCAAGCAATGTCATCCTTGTCAGTCATGTTGTTGAACAGTTCATGCGCCTTAGCTACTTGACCAACATCAAAATACCCTCTGATCATGGAAGTCACTGAAATTTTATCATGGATAGGCATAATCTTAAAGATATACTCAGCCTTGTCCAATTTTCCTATCTGAATATAACCACTGATTATAGCATTACAGGATTGTGTCGTCCAATTTCTTTTGTTCTTCTCAAAGATAGAGCGAGCATACTCCATTAAGCCATATCTAGAATACATATAGACCAGACTATTTAAAAGCCGTCCACTACTATCATGGTATTCAAAACTGTTGGTGATCATTAAAGCATGAAGTTGCATACCAAGTCGAGGATAACCGATCCCAGCACAGGCATAGGCTAGTGAAATACAGGTCTCGTCGTTCAGTTTCACCCCAACCCTCCTCATTTCAAGGGCTAGCAATATAGCTTCTTCATAGTAAGAATTCCAAGAAAATCCACCAACCATAGCTGTCCAAGAAACAACATTCTTTCCAGGCATTCGACGAAATAAATCATAGGCAATTCATACTTCTCCAGCCCTGCAATACCCAGATATCAATGTAGTCCATGTAATTACATTTACATCCTTATCCACCATTTGATCAAACAATACCCTGGCTTTCTCCATCATACAATTCTCTGCATAACCACCAATCATTGCATTCCAAGAAACCGAATCCCGAATTGGCATTGCCTCAAACATCAATCTCCCCCCCTCCAAATCCCATTCTTTACCAACCCAACAATCATTGAATTCCAACTAACAACATTCCTCTCCGGCATCGCCTCAAAAAGTGCCTTTCCTTTCTCAACCATCCCAGAGCTCATCAACCCACAAAGCATTGACGTCCATGACACTACATTCTTCACCGGCATCGCCTCGAAAAGCTTACACGCCTCACTAATCCTACCACTCTGCACATACCCAGAAAGCATAGCATTCCAAGTAACAACATTTCTCTCTGGCATGATATCAAACAAAGTCCGAGCCTCGTCAAGAAGACCCCTTTTAGAGAATTTAGTGAGCAGAGACGTCCATGTAACAACTGAAGACTGATTTCTTCTGTGGGGCATTTCGTCGAGCAGTTGGCGTGCATGCTGTAAGTTTCCATTAACCAAACAACCCAAAAGCTGGGATTCATTGTTGCTGAAGTTTGATAGTTGAAATGTGGAAAACCCAGGTTGGAAATCATATTGGGAGACACAGAAAGTACGATGGATTAATTTAATTGGAGTTTTTGAAAGAGAAATGGCCAAATTTCTGGCATAGTGAATCGCGGGCATCGGCTAGATTATCTCAGCCTTCAATTAAAATGGGTCAATTCATGCTGATAACACCGATCTGATACACTACGTAGTTATCCATCCAATCAACATGAGAAGACTTTATGTACAAATCCTATATCTCATTATTCACCATCATCATTATGACTTAGGAAGAAGAATATACGAGACACCTCTATCGTCCTATTTGCATGTGTCTCTAAAATCAATAAAGTAATCAATGACACTTTCTAAAGTCAATAAAGTAATCATGACACTAAAGTTATCATAACATGCAAATCTAGACTAATAGACATTATCATGACCCAAAAGTCATCATGACATGCATAACTTAGACTAGTCATCACATGTACAACTTTACCGTTTCCTCTTCGATCATATCATAATCAAATCTCGATTGCAAGTCACACATTAACACTTAATGATAAACATTTTTTGTTTATCTAATGGCGATTTCGTAAATAAAAGGAATAGTGGTACCACAATTTCTTCGGTATTTCATGGTTCTCCAAGAGGACAAAACGACACAGTTTTTGCTGGTTTGTAATACTTGCAAAAACTTCTTCCCTCTTACTTTCTGCAATTTCCACATTACTCACACGGTACTCTAAAAGGGCAAAATGGCATAGTTTTGCAAGTTTATAATACTTATTCTTTCCGTGTTTTAATAAGTTTTACACTTATCAAATGCGGCCGTATTTTAATAAGTTTTACACTTATCAAATGCGGCCGTATTTTAATAAGTGTTACACTTTCTTCTTTTGGCAAAAGTTACTACATTTTATACTTTCTCCGTCTTTTTATTAAGAACATGTATTCCATTTTGGGTAACCAAAATTAAGAGTCTATTTCTATTTAAATGTTGTACTTTTTGACAATTTTATTCCTTATTTTATTTATTTATTTATTTATTTTTAATGATTTGTCATTCTTTTTTTTCCTTTCTTTTTTGTACTTTTGACATCAATTCTCACTATTTTCTCTCTCCCTCTTATCAATAATTCTCAACTACTTTTTCTTTTTCTCTATTTCTCTTTAACTCTACATGCATATTTGTACTTCCAATTATTTCTTTTAAGGAATCTACAATTTTCTTAATTTCCATGAAAAAACTAAAATAGGCTCTTAATAAAAGGACGGAGGGAGTATTATATCTTTCTCCTTTTATGGTCTTCACTCAAACCCACTACTATTATATTTTATTTTTTTATTTCTTTCCTCACACATTCATTACTTTTTAATAAATTATTAACCCCAATTTTTTTTTTTTTTTACAATTTATTAATACTCCAAGTACCCCACTCACCTCTTATTTTATTTAAGTCAATCAAATTGCCTAAAATTATAGTATAAAACTTATTAAAACACAAAGGAAGTATAAAAACTTCTTGGTCTCCCTCTTACTTTCCCTCTTAAATTTCTTCACATTATTATCTGTTTTGCCAATTTTTTCTGTTAAAATAATATGTGAATCCAATCAAACTTTGTTTTGTCTTCCAATTGCAAGTTCTTCCTTCTTGTTTTTCTCTTAATCATCTGTTCTCATTTCTTCAACATTTTTTTTCTAAATTAAAGATGATTTTATGCAATTTACTTGGTATTTATCTAAGGTGATGCTGCACGTCATTCTTAATCTCAACTCTGGAATAGAACAATACAAACATTATAATTGTAAAGGTAAATTAAAATAACACTATGTTAAAACAGAATAACATAAAATATATTTAAAATATCACAGGTTTAAACAATATTACAATAGAATTTAAACCGAATAACATCATTTTGTATACAAAATAACTCAAAGTTAACATAAAATTATAGAGTATATAAACCAATCATGGGCCTCAACTATTAGTTTAAGTTTTTGGTTTAGTTGGTCCTTTAACATGGTATTATAGCCAACGTGACCTTTGGG